GTTCGCGCTGATTATCTGATTCCGCTTTTGAATCGCCATTGATTCAACAAATTTGACGCCGATTTCGATCTCTGTCGTGTGAAGGTGATCCATCTTCACGTGTTTCTCTGTTCTTCGATCAATTTGTTTAGCCAGATCTTTCTCGTTTATGCTTTTTGTTATCTCTGGGAAATTTTCGGCTGCAAGAGATCCTTTTGATTCATGGGTATTGAAGCATTCGGTGTAATAATGTATCATTGATCTTGACCGGTGAGATCGGTGAGCTCAAGTTTCTGTTTTTTCCCCCTAATTTGGATTCGAAGAGATATGTCAAGTAAGGTATGGAGATGGGTATTAGGGTTGATATACATATTCTCTGTTGCCACGATTTGGATTGCAGCTAGTTTTGTAGTCCAATCCGTGGTGGATGCTGGTGTTTCACCGTTCTTGATCACTTTCATTTGTAATTCGTTGTTCGTCGTTTATCTTCCTCTTTTTGAGATCGGTCGATATCTGGAAGATGCGTATGGGAGTTTATTGTTTTGGAGAAACAAAAGGTCGCATTTACTGGATTTGGTCGAATCAGAGAAGGCTGTTTTGCTTGGACAAGATGTTTCAGGTGTGAAATCAGATGATGCAATTGAAAGTTCAGGGCTTGTTGTGAGAGAGGAAGGAAATAGTGAGGATGGTAATGAGATTGAATCTGGATTGGAAAATGTAGAGCTTGAGATTGATGGTAGTGTCAATGTTAGTGGTGAAACCGGTGGAATCTGTAGCAAAGGATTAGATGAGAAGGGTCGGTGGACAAGGATGCGAGTTGCTAAAGTTAGCCTTGTGATATGTCCGTTTTGGTTTTTGGCACAGCTCACTTTTAATCTCTCTCTCAAGTATACAACAGTTACGGTAAGAACATTGAAAACCTCACACTCTTGTTGCTCTGTTCTGAATATAGTTTTATGCTTAGACTCAAGATTTCTTAATTTTTGTGAATTTTGCAGTCAAATACCATCTTAAGCAGTGCATCAAGCCTTTTTACTTTTCTTGTATCACTAATATTCTTGGGAGAGAAGTTTACGTGGTTGAAACTCTTCAGCGTTCTTCTTTGTATGTCTGGGACAATAGTTGTGAGTATGGGTGACTCAGAGTCCAACTTATCTGCAACAGCCAAAAATCCTCTTCTGGGAGATATACTTTCTCTGATCTCAGCGGCACTATATGCTGTCTACATCACTCTTATTCGCAAAAAGCTTCCAGATGATGATGAAAGAAATGGTCGTGTCAGTATGGCTCAGTTCCTCGGGTTTCTTGGTCTCTTCAATTTCTTCATTTTCCTTCCCGCTGCTTTAATACTCAACTTCACAAAGCGAGAACGCTTCAATGCACTAACCTTGAAACAATTTGGTCTGGTTATTGGCAAAGGTATATCTACCCTATCCCTATTTCCGCTGAAGTCAATAAATCCGCAAGTAGTAAATTACGATTTGATGTTTGAATGCTGGCTTGAACGACTTAGTATGTGTTGTGATTTCAGGTCTGTTAGATAATGTGCTTAGTGACTATCTATGGGCAAAGGCAGTGCTTCTGACAACCACCACTGTCGCAACGGCCGGGCTAACCATTCAGGTTCCATTGGCAGCCATTGTAGACAGCTTAGTAGGGAACAAACCAAGCTTCACTGACTACATTGGTGCTGCAGCTGTAATGGTTGGCTTTGCAGGCATCAACATTCCTTCTGAGGTGTTTTGCAGATCCAAAGAGACCGGTATTGAGTTAGAACCCGGGACTTCTTTCACAGATCCTCAGATTGTGTCGGATATTGTTAGAGTAGATTCTTCAGACACAGTAGTGCCTTAAATGTCCCAAATTATTGTACAACCCACGTTTTTTTCTATAATCTTTTTCTTTAATTTCGTGTTAGTGTCCTCTTTTGTGGCGATTATTAATCTGTAAATCGTTGAGCATGAATACATGATATACGAATATAATTGGAAAATAGTAATAAAACAGTTCAAGATTCTGGACTCAGTTTCAATACAATAGAATAAATGTATTCGTTTCAAGTAACTAAGCGGCTACATTGAGATGGCCATACTTCTGCATTACTCTCTTTGTCGCCATAGCAGCTGCTTCACTTGCCCTAAGTGTCCCTTGTGCCATGAGAGCTGCAAATTCACGAGTAATCTCTTCCTGAATCTTAGTCCTAGCATCACCCAGTGGGTCCTTCACCTTCTCTTTACTAGCTGACGGTTGAACAGCAGGTGGGACCTTTTCAGTTGCAGCTGAGGTTTGTCCATCCTCAGGCTTAGAAGCTTTCTCAAGTGGCTTTGGACCTTCATCTTTACTAAAAGCTCCGAAAGGCTGTGGGTGTGGCCTAAACTGTGGAGCATGAGGAACAGCGCCGGCTCTCATAGTTGCTTCAAGGTTTTGTATCATAGGCACTGCAAATAAGAAGATGAAATCAGATCAGTTAGAGAACCGAGCAAAACGGGTCCAAGGGAGGTTTTGGAAGTAACCAGCGACTTACTTATAAGACCACCCATCGGGCTGTTCAAAACCTCGTTAGGAAGCTGAAGAATGTAGTCTGGAATTCCTTTACCAACCAAAAACTGAGAGACCTCGTTGCTGAAGTTGTTGCAATTGTGAGCAAGTAAATTGTAGGATTCAGCTGTGTAGCGAGGCTTGATCTCCTCCAAGTACATCTCGAATACATCTTTAGGAACATGAGTTTCACCCAGCTCTATTGTTCGAATTGGTCTTCCGTACTGAGTTGTTCCAGCTGCCACATGTTGTATTCCTCCTCCAAAAAAGTATTCATTCCCATACACAACTACTCCCGTATGCCTGAGAAAAGGATACATAGCTCACGTGTTACTGTACACGCTTACAAAACAAAGAAGAAGACTCAAGGCAAAACAATATGGACAATAACTGCACTTGGTTGGGCTGAAATCAAAAGCAGAAGCTTAGACACATTACATACTACAACATGCAAATATCTAACATTGGTTAATTGCAACCATGCTCTACGATTGACTATCAAAGTAAGAGTAAGCCTTAAACCTTATGAAATTAAGCTAATGCAACAGTACCCAAGAAAAAAACAGAGTCAAAGATTCACTTAAATTTGGCCTAAAGAAGATAATGGATTACGCATAGAGAGTATAGTTTCAGATTTCACACATTGCATGAACATGTTCCAAAGATAACTCACCATACACCTTCGATAACCTTTCCCAAAAGCGAAGCCGAGAGCTGACGTGCCAAGCCTTGGCTTAGGTCATAGACATTCAACGTAACCTTATGTGCTTCCTGCATTCACATATTCCAAATCCATTCAATCAAACTGAACAACGAGGCAACACATTTGAACTACGAACCAGAGATGAATAAGAGATCTTACCTCGGCCATTTCCAACTCCAAATCTGTGAATATCTCGAAACAAACAATTAAACTACCTGAAACAAAATTCAAAGATTGAATATCATAAATAACGAATTAGATATAGAATCAAAATTCCAGTACAAGGTCTAGAATCTAACAGATCTAAAAACTAAACTACAAAGAACACAACCGATTCCGAGAAACTACAAGACCTCGAGAAGAACATCCCGCAAACAAGAATTCCAAATCTTACATATCAAATCTAGAGAACAATTTCCATAAAACTACAAAACCTTCGAAAGGAGTATTCGCAAATAGAAAATCCAAATCTAGAAAAAGATCAAATCCAGAAACCACTATGCTAAATCGGGAGATATAATTGATACAATAGATTGCCATAAACGAGAGACTGATCACATACAAAATCAAAAGAAGGAAAATCGCCGCTCTTTTCTTCCTCAGGAAGCTCGGAATTTTTGTCGGTATGCTCCAATCTGCAACTTTTCTTGGAAAGCAATGGTTCTGAGAGAGGTTTATAAAGGCAAGCGATTGGGTAATTCAAAGATTCCTCAACGACGTCGTTTAAGCAAACGCGAGCCCAAACCGTACCCATTCTATACTCTTCTAGAACGTACTCTCCAATAAGGTAACGACACGTGTTTCCTCCTATCCAAACCGTTCCGGTTCAACCGACCAGAATCTTTGAAACAGCACGCGTTACATATATTTTTTTTTTCTTTCCTCAATTAAAATAAATCCAAAAAAGTCTTTGGTCAAATTCGGACGTATAACATTCTTAAATTGGCAAAGATCAATTCTTAAATCACCTAAAAAGATCCAGTAGCTTCTGATTTCATCAATTCTTTTTTTTTCTGAACCTCAAATTTCTTGCTGTTTCACACAAGGACGAACCTGATTTCTTGTCTTCTCTGTTCCATTTCGGACAAAACCAAGCAAATTGTTGAAACAGTCTATTCAACACACAAAAAACGAGCTTCAAAGACAAATTATCTTGGTTACAAAACAAGCAACAAGTGCATTCATTCATCATATTAGCATACACCAAAAGAACACACGCATTCCAACCAAAAAAAGACGCTAGCTACCAAAAGAACACATGTTTAAGCCTTTGTGACGCATTCATTCATCAAACAGTAGTAGCAGAAAGAACTTTAACGAAATCATATCCTAAAGGGAGTGTAACCACATGATCAAACCACTCTAACTAACCCCCAAATTTCACACCTTTTGCGCCTCACAAGCCCAATCTCAGCAATCCAAATCATCATCTTGCTATCATCATCCACAAGCTCGTCCCATAAAACCAACATCTTTCCACCATTATCAGCCAATCTAAGACGAACATTATCAGGGAACTCCGGTAGACCTCTCCTAAACCCTTCAAATATCTCCACTTTTTAACCTTAGTGTCATACCATCTGAAAAATTTATAAAAAACAGAGTACAAAACATTCCCTACAACGCAATAAGAATCTGGATACAACAACATAAACTGACGCATCCCATCATCATCTCCAGCCAGGTTCCATATACCTTCCTTGGGACTGTAAGCAACCGCCTCTAAGCCAGTCTTCACATGGAACTTACCATCAATACTTGCGCTTTTGGAGTTGTAAAATACCTCTTTTGCCTCAAGAACAGGCACAGGATCCCAAATTTTGGTTTGTGTGTCGAATATCTCCAAACAGTTCTTCTTCATAGACTTGTCGTCATCTTCGTAGCAACCTGCTACATAAATCTTACCATCAAGTACACTAGCAGTAAGTGACGTTACCTCCACAGGCAAGCTTGGACTATCCTGCCACGTGTGTGATCGGCAATCCAGAATCGAGACGTGGTGAAAGAAAGGCGCACGGGCAATGTTGTAGATACAAGAACCAACCGAGACTAGACCCGAAATGTTTATATAAGCAGAATTGGGGATTGGGACTTTAGCCAAAACATAGGCACTTGATTTCTTCTTCATCTCCTTACTGTTGCAATTGGTTAGGGTTTGAGTAGGTTTCAGGCAGAGGGTGAACCAGGTAGGGTTCCGAGCACGATAGAAATGCATGCACACATAGAGACAACTCTCGGTTTTGCCCAAGATTGATCAGGCTTTGTAAAGCTCCGGTGAAGAAATGATAGATCGGAAGCTCTTGGAGACGAGAGAGAGTGTCGGATAGTACAACCTTGAGAGGCGTGCGATGCAGCTCAATAGTAACTCATGGGGAAGCGACAGAATCGAGGTCGATTGCGGAGGAGTCGGAAACGGCTTCTTCCTCTTCGCCGTCCCCGTCGCCGTCGTAGCGGTGCTCTTCCTCTTCTTCTCCGGGGACAACATTACATCGGCGGAATTAACGAGACGACAAGAATGGACAGAGGCTACCAGTACTATAGGAGTATATACAGAGGCTATGTATACAAGCTGGGCCAACAATGGGCTTAAGATTTTTTTTTTTTTTAATTTGCTACGATCATCACATTCATAACGTTTTTAATTCGTTCACTGAACTTAGAAATCACATTCATACACATTACTTTATTTTGCTAATGTATGTAGTCGCATTTTCGGTGGAAACTGGAAAGAAGATGTATCTAAACTCATAAATTTTAACAGAAGCCATATTCTTGTTAATATCCCTCCCTAATTAAGACAGATTCATGAACTGTAACTCCCCAAAATAAATCTGGTACAGACGCAAAAGAAAAATTTATAAAGAAGAAACATAAGAAAGGATAAACAAAAACGTCTAATCTTACGGACAAAACCATTCTGGTTAGGCAAATAAAAGCCTGGACTTGAGAAAAGGTCTATAGAAAACAAATGAAAAATCAAACCAGTGCTTCTTCTTTCCAAAACAACACATTGTGCGCAAGGAGTTTTTTTTACCTTATGATACCATAAACGGCTCAAGACGGAAGATTTCCGGACCTTTGTACCTTGTGATACCATCCATAAACGGCTTAAGAAGAAGATTTTGAGCTCAGGAGGTTCTTCAATGGTTACAAGAGCTTCATTCCGGCACCCGAGTTGTCTGAAAAAAAGAAAATCACTTCATAAGATGCGTTGAAAATGATTTGGGACTTGAAGAATGTACTGGAAGTTATGATATGGAATAAAGGTTTCTTACCATATTTGAATATTTTAGGCATTTTGTTGGATTTGGCGGTGAAGTTGCATAATCCAATCAACATAACCACTCGATCCCCCCATCTGGTCCTCAATGAGATTTCTGAGGAGAAGGAAGCCTTCTCGGGGTTGTTCTCCTTGCCTCACGAGGAAACACATGGGATGATATGAAGGATCATTCTCCCTCACTTTATTTATCAACCTCATTAGCTTCTTTGACATTCCATTCTCTTGCTCTTGCAGTGTAACCTAAGAACCAGCACAAAGAAAGACAGCGGTTTCACACAGATTGTGATGTTTCGGTAACTTATAAAAGCTAGGAACCAGTATCAACGCATATGATGTTAGGATACATGTGGATAAGAGAACAGAGGATGCATGTGGATAAGAGAACATACCCTTGAGAGCTCTGCCGCAAAGTCAGCCCCGAGAAGATTTTTAGCAATGTCAGGTGAAAGCATCCGGCCAAACCACAAGACTAATCGAAAACCATCATCATAAATGTAAAGGCCCCTAGAATCCAAACTCTCTGCAGCGAGAGGCAATCTCCTCACTACGTCCTTAAGGTCATCCTGGTCTGCTGATGGCTGCAAATATTTAAATTACGATTTAAGACTTCTTGAACAGATGTTAGATAATGGACATTGAGATAAATATCCACAAACCTTTGAGAGCCACTCGTCAACACGGAATAAATTGGGATACAAAAGCTTCAATAGCTTTTTGACAGGCAGAGCCATCATAGTGAAGCCTGCCGCACAGCGCTCATCAAGTGAAGCATCAGCAGGTCCACCTTGAAGAGGAGTGGACTTAGAAATTGCCAATCCGTACAATGGCAAGAACTTCAGAGACTCAGGGTATATTAATCTAGACCCCAACCGATGCTGCACCGCATGAAGATTACGATATTCTCTAAGGGCTTTAACAATCTTTAGCTGTATTGCATTCCGTGCATCATCCAATTTTGCGGATAAAGATTTCTCGATTGCTGCAGAATTTAAATGGTCAGTAAATAGTATCCAAAGTAGCATAAGATGTTACCGGCAAAAACTTGAGTGTATCCTACCTAATCTAGTATATACAGAGACAATGGAACCAGTGTCTGCTTGTCTATACATCTCTCCAAGATCTGCAACCACTGGTGCAACAGCTGTGTGTACCCTTATACGCCTCTCTCCGCAAGAAGCAGTATATCTTAGTCCTGTTAAGGATTACTAAAACCACATGATGCCTTGTGCCAGCTGAAAATCAAACTTCAAACTCAAGTATATTATAAATAAATATCAACTATTTAAGGATACAGCAAAGCGACTTGGAAATACACAGTCGGGGTTGTTAGCAATGTCTCTTCCAGAGATAGCTGCATTGCATATGCTTTGTCACAGTCAACAGCAGGAAGAGCAAGCAGGTCAGTAGACCTTAGCATGAAGTTTCCATGGTAGGACGAGAAACGAATTCCTGCATTCGAAAATATATAAGACCACATGTAGCATACCTTATAGGAAATAATGAGTGACATGACAGGTAGCACAAATGCACATTGTTTCAGAATTAAACCTTTTCCACATCTTATTCGCATAACCGCTTCCCACGCAGTTTCCCTGGTAAGGTCTCTAGCCAGCTCGTGTCTTAACTTATCTCCATGAACAGATGACTGGAAACCTGGATAATAGTAAACCTGTCCTCCAGTGTATTTTGCCAGAGTCCCTACACAAAGCAATGCATTGTACTACATAAAACAATTTCATGCTCATCATTTAGAACTATTTAACAGGGAAGAAAGCACCACTAACTACCACTCATTGACACCAGACACCGAAATAAGCATTCAATCATAACCATAATATTCACGTACCTAAGGAGGCAATATCAGTGTACTTATCACTGAATGCATAAACATTAATTCCTATCTGGAACTTGGTACAATCGGCAGCCATTTGTTTATAGAATGGGTCTTCAGCTACCCTTAAAGTATATTCTTTGTCAGTTCCATAGATACGAGGATCATCTCCCCGCAACTTCAACCGCCCAGCACCAAGAGAAGGTAATGAGTTCTGGAAAATTAGCAACTTGCCCCCAAGTTGGTTCTGAAATAGAGAGAGAACAGAGTCAGCTACAAACTGAGACAAATTTTGGATGAGGATCCAAATACGACACTCAACACCAAATGAGTTATGTGGCAATTTGACATGGCAGGATAGTAACTAACCATAACCATAAACGCCGCTCTGAGGGCTGGACCAAAAGCTGATTCCACATTGACATTATCTTGAAACATCAAAGGTAGACTGTCCAAAAAGGCTTCCACCACATTTCTAGATTCAGAGAGATTGACAAGAAGATCATCCGGCAATGGGACAAATATATCATCAAGATCTGATACCACCATCATTTGCGGCTGGCTCAAAGATGACTACATTGCCAACGTCCACAAAGAATAAATGATGGAAGCTAAAATATTTCAAGACAAAAAGGTTCCTGGGTATTCACAAATCTCTTACCTTCATATTGTAAAAATGTAATGTGCTGTCATAAGTAATAAATCCAATTTGAGTTCTGGGGTAACCAGGCAGGTTATCCAGACAAGACTTAATTGTTTGAGCAACAACCTGCAAAAGGAGTAAAAAGGTCAAAATTGACTCTTACTAACTAATGTAACAATAATGCTGATGCAGAACAAAATTACAAAGTGGAATATTAAAATCGAACATGCTTACCTCAAGCATCCCACTTTTAGAAGCCGAAATCGAAACATCAATGAGGAAGAAGTAGATTGGTGGCATTGGAGGCCGGACCATGTATTCAGTTGGAGCTATGATTTCAACACTGCCCTTTGTCAGCTCAGGCCGTTGATCCATGTCCATCCTTCGGCCAGTAGCATCCAAATGTGAGAAGTATTCACCAGGCACTGAACAAGAAATTTGACCCAAAACTATGAATATTCATCTTATAAACATATGCCTGGAAGAACTGTACATATAGCACCATCGATCAAATAATTTCTTGAAAGAGAAAAGAAGGGCATTCCAGTGACTAGGTTCACCACAAAAGTAAAAAAATACACAACTCCAAGAACAGGTCCTTGTAGCTTTCACCATATCCATTTATAATAATTCTACTAAGAAGCTGACAGATAGCCACATGTAACTTAAGCAAAACAGATTAGACCAACACAGAAGGAAAAAAAATGACAGAAAAATCAGAGAAGGAAATTAAAACACCATTTACAAGACATGTTTAAACAGCAATTATGTTCTGTAGCACCTTCATGAAGAAGATTTGGGAGAATTACCATCATTAAGCATAGAACAGATATTACACCGCCACTTTCTTCCAGAATCTGTAAAATTCACATAAGGATTCACATAGGTACGGCATCTTCTGCAGCGGATGATGCCCATCGAGCCGAAATCAATAAGGGGTACTTCCTCCTGAATAGATAAAGATGACAATTTGCAAATAAAAGGCAAAGTTCTATGTGGCTCATATGTAACTCGTGCAGAGTTCTAGATAATCAAACATGAAAGAATTTAGAAGAGTGTCTTGCAAACAGATACTAACCCCTTCAGGAGTCTCTGCAAGTGGACAAACCACAGCTCCTAGAGGCAAATGCCACCTCGAAGCCAGAGACTGGGAATTCGGTATAGCACTAGTTGTCAGCCGTAGATATCTAGAATGGCAATTCATGGGGTATGTTTCAGCAAATGAATTTGGCTTCACGTCACCGTCCAATGGCCTTGGGAATGAATTACGATCAAGTCCTGGCTCAAGCGAACCCGGAATAGAAGAAAGGGATAGCGAATTGAAATCTTCAGTCAAGCCTTGGACGTTACTGGTAGGAGGTGCATAGCTTGGATGCATATTCTGTTGTGCTGCCAGATTTGGGTGCTGAGCAAAACCTCCGGGAGGATATTGTGAAACTGTAGACGGAGGACCCTGAGATACAGACTGGAATGGCATTGGAGGAGCCTGTAAGACCTGCTTGCTGGGATAACCAGGAAAAGATGGTTGGGAACCAACCCCACCAGGATAAGACGGATTAACTGGAGGCATCGACTGTTGAAAACCAGGCCTGGCAGCCATATGAGAATCTGCAGGAGGAGGAAAAGCATTTGCTCCAGGTGGCCCAGAAGGCATACTTTGTGGCGGAGGTCCCATTGTTACAGGCGCCATTGGTTGTTGTGGACGAATAGACATCGGAGGCGATAAGTGACCTGCAAGGGTTTGAGTAGGTGGTGGACCACGAGGAGGGTTTTGTGCAGCCGGGAATGGCGGGGCTGGAAAACGCTGAAAAGAGCCACCACCAGGAGGACCATATGGTGTTGAAGGAAACGAATTTGCTGATGGTGGTGGAGGTCTATTCCCTGGAATCTGAGAAACCAAAGGAGATTGGACAGGCCTCATCGGACCCACTGATGGAGCCACAGGAGGACCAGAAGGTGTGAACGGTCTAGTTGGTTGGGAAGCAGCTGGTTGGAATGGTCTAAAGCCTGTCTCTGATCCGGTGGCTGGTCCACCAGATTGAGGAGGAACCCCTGGTGGCGGAGCAGCTGCGAATGGAGACGAGGTAGGTCTCGCTGGAAAATTCGGATAACCCTGATTCTCCGTACCCATTATTGTATACAACTTAACACCTGAAACTGTTGTCAAAAGTTATAGGCAAGGGACCAGATCAATTACAATCCCAGATTCGACCTAGAGTCAGATTCGTTCACAGAAACCTCATATCCTCTGAAATAGTTGCCTTTCGTAGTGCTGACTTGGACAGATCCGCCTCTGAAAAACCACTACTTTTCTTCAATTATCACACAGATTTTCAAAAGTGGAAACTTCTGCAACAATTTCCCGTCCGTTTACAAGATGATCTTCAACGATGACTTTAGATCTCGCCAAAATTAGGCTTCTCCGATTCCTACTTGCCTTGATTCTACTACTTAGCTTTTCAATTACTCTCGAGCAAGAGGATCTTACCGAGAATAGATTACCAGTGAGAAACGTATACGAGAAACTCTTTCTGCGTTGATGATTTTCCCTCCTTCAAGAAATCAGAAAGATCTGGATCAATTACCATTGAATATAAAGCTAAAACTCAAGATTAACATCAAATTTAATATGGTTTTCGAGCGCGAAGACTACCTTTAAGTGAGAGAAAACTGGAGAAACTGCGCAGCGCGAAACTGATTCTACAGCGATCGGCTTCAGATCGTATGACCCTAAGAAGATTCGACGCGGAATTGGAGAATCAAGCGCAGCGAAAGAGACGATGTGATATATTATGGGCCAATAACTGGGCTTACGGTTTTTGTACAAATAAGCCATTTATCATTTCTTTATTTATCTTTTCTATAAAAAATAATTTCATCAACCGTTTCTTGGCCAATTTAATCGTAAAATGGTACAATATAACCCATTTATCATTTCTACAACACCGTTTCTGATTATGTTTCCTGAATTGAATAAATTACTTGTTTTACATATGTAGTATCAAATTCTTTTACGAAACTTAAAGTTCTTTAAGAAAAGATAAATAGCTATACAGTATATGATTTCTGCCAAATTTTCTATGGTGTCCTATAAACTATGCACTTTATCTATTTTACCCTGCATACATAATAATCGATCTTATAGCAATGTGCAAATCAAAAGGAACATAATATGTGCCTGATTCTTGAGAACTAAAACCAATTATGCATATGTTTTAAGAAACTAAGGTAATGTCACTTTTCATAAATATAAGATGTCTTGTACAACAATAGAGGCTGAAATATAATATCCATAAAACCCCAAATACATTCTCATGGAGAAGAAGGAGTCTTGATGTAGAACCCAACACCAAGAGCCAAACCTAAGATTAGAAGGGGAACAAGAAATTGAAGGACATTAATCGACAACAACTCGGAGTTCTTCTTATCCTGATTTTGCTGCTCTGTCTGATTC